TTTTTTTTTCCGCCCCCAACATCTATTTTGCCCCCAAAAAGGGCGGACGCCCCCCCCCCCCCCCCTGTCTCACGCGTCGTTTCAACAAGACAGCCATTTGTAATCCATAGAGGGGGCGCAGAACATATTTGGAAACCACTGACTTAGGCCATTATTTTAGGAAGGTGATGATATGAGTTTACGAAGTGTAGCAAACAGGTAAAACATGTAATGTGTAGATCAGTAATTTGTATGACGTTTTAGGAGTCTAGACTATATAATTATTTTATGTTTTTGATTTTTTTTCTGTACTTGTGAAACAGTTTCATGCTAAAATATATTTTAATACGGTATTATACAATGTAAGACCTGTAAAACAAATTTTCCCAAAACTGTTAACATATTAGGTTGTAATCTGAGGTTTCAGATTTTCCTATTTCTCTTTATAGCATCCCACTGCTGTGGAGACTGTTGCAGCAAATCCCAATGAACTATAAACAGCCCCAGATAATTACTCTTTATTTCAGAGGTTGACTGCAGTGTGACAATTATAGAAGTCTTTGTTAGTTATTCCTTAATAAAAATATCAAACATGCTGTGTTTTTGATTTGATTTGAGTGTATTTATTAATTGGGGAAAATACTCAATATTAAAATAACTGTAATTTAACTAAACTGTCGGTGCTACAACCATTTTCATTCCTGCAGTTCACGCTTTGCACCAAAAAAGACAACACTGCTCCTTCTTTTTCTTCTATAACATTTCAAAGTTCAAGGACACAGGGATTTCTGCACATGATCTCTACAACATTCAGAAATCGGGGCTCTCTATTTTGCCCTTTTCTCTTCTAAATCTATGGGGTTTATCTTTGGAAAATGAGATAGCCTGGAAAGAAGGTTGATCTGGAGTCTAAACCTCTTCTGTACTAATTTGGTCATATGTCTCGGTGTTTATCCTGACAACTGGTTGGCACCAAGATGGATTTTTTTTCCTGCAGTTCTTAACTTTGAGCTTGTGATTAAAAAAAAAAAAAACATTTATTGATTATCCTCAATGATGCTACATGATGCCAAGATAAATATGGGTCATCATCCAGCCTTGTTTGTCGCAATTCTAGGTGTATTCATTTTTTTTTAAATATTGCTCTGACTGCAGGTATGTGCATGTTTAGGGGTGATGAAATTGAATTGCAACCATTTCTTGATGAACAAAGATTAATAAGCAGATTTGTCCTACTTAAATATGTTCTCTTGTATCTTCCTTTTTAAAGAGTGGCTGAGTAGAATGAGCTATATTTATGCCAAATGCAAAACAGGATCTTATATTATTTGGATTAAACTTTAAAAAATAAGTTAGAACCTCCATACTTTGTTAATAACATTTATCACTATGCAATTTCTTCCTCCCACAAAGTAAATGGTCTCAAATCAAAGGCTGGATTAACTTTTGACAGCTGAAGTGAAGAATAAATATATTTTATACCCTTTTTACATAGATTCACAAGGTGTACCATCTGCTGAGGGTGTTTGATAGGAATCTTGCACAGTAATAATTACCAAGATTTAATGATCATACATTTTATTACCCTCATGTGATAATACTGATAATGTTCTAAAATTATAAAAGATGAGATTTAAAGGGCTCTTTAGCTTTAATATTTCAAAAGTTTTTATTAAAATTAAAAGGATATGTAAATAAAAATAATAAGAAATCTTTCTGCTGACAGGTAACTTCCTCTGACAAGTTTCACTTGTCAGAGGAAGTTTCACTTATGTAAATGCATGATAAGCTGCGGCTATCAACACAGTCTAATGATTGGAGAACAAAATTATATTTCTAAAAAATAATTATTGCGAGAAATAAAAAAAAACAGTGCTAAAATGTTGAGAGATGAAGAGCTTTAATTTAAAACTCAGTATGTTCCAATTTAAAAGAAACTAATTAAACAGATGGTGATTTGAAGAGTGAAATAATATTTGAGACAAAAATCAGACACTGCACCAAACTCCAAGCAGCCTAAATACCGTAGTTTGTCTCTGTGTTACTATGCACGTTGTCAATTCGTTGCACAAGAAACTGTTTGTTTAATCCAAACAGAAGCATATTAATGAGATTTCCACAACTCCTCTCCTCCGAACGGAAGAAAAAAGAAAAAAAAACTTCAGACAACTCTTTACAATTAAGTCTAGCAGTATAAATCCTTTGATTTTTGCTTCCTGCAGCCGACAGCAATATGGTGACAGAGTATTTAAATCATTTTCAAAAGAAAATACATTTAAAAAATAAATAAATATGAGGAAAAACATTAGGGAATGAAAGACCTACCGTCAAATCTTTTATGTCTGGAGACAAATGTGCTTCTCAACGTGTGACTGGTTTCATCAAGCAGATTTTCAAAGTCCAGCTTGCTTTGCTGACCAAATCGGTCTTCCATTTCTTGGGTACAACAGGTGTGTTCATAGGTGCAAACACGCAGATCTTCTCCTGCAAAAGGAAAACAAAGCAGAAGTATTTTTATATTACTGCTGAACTGATAAAAAATAAATAAATAAAGATAACACTTGACCAAGTTGAAATAAAAACACATACTGTCTAAAGTTCCCAGATTACTTTAAAGTAGTTGGGATTAAAAAGGAGGATGTCCTTTGCTGATAACTGGGGTGTTCAGTATTTAATCTAATTTGTTTTTAGAGTAAATTTAATATGAAGCAAATAATTCAGACCTTTTATAATGAGCAAAGTAGTGGCTCTGGTCCACAAGACCTTTATTTATCGCCCTTCAGATGCCTTTACAGCATGAGTGAATTTGATTAAATCTGCTTTGATTCAATGTACATAATTAATAAGACACGCTCAGTAATTATGGTCTGACTGTTGCCTATGCAAATTACAATATCTTTAAGGCTTTTCTTTTTTTTGACTAAGGGAAAAGGTCTGTGCTTGAAACAGTACAGCAAATAAGAAATTTTATAAATATTTTTCAAATCACAACATGGTCTGTGATATTCATTCAAACTTGAATTTTAATGTGATCTAGAGATTCATTTTTTTCATAAACTTTAAGTACAACAAACAAAATTGCTAATTTCTCTAATGAGTATGGGTTTTCGCAAACTTTTTACTTTCTTTTAGCAAGTATTGAGACAGTAATTGGAAGGAGAAATTAAATGCATTTTTAGTCAGAGACAGTGAATGAAGTCTGACTTTTATTCTTGCGAAATAAACTGATTTGTGCAATGAAATAAGAGAATAAGAGAATTAAATGAAATGAAATGCTGGTGTTTATTATTAACTTTTGCCTCTGGTGAAACAGATGAAATATTATTTTAAAATATCCTCCCATAGCACATAATTGATGTAACCGTGGAAGTACTCGTGGAAAACTTTATGACCCTCATAATTTCATTTTCATCAGCGGCCAATAAAAGAGGAGACACAAATAATCCAAACTCCGCCCGACAAAATTCATCCTAAAACTGTAGCCGGCTTCACTTTTGATGATTTTAGAAATGGCGTGTGCTGCCTCGGACTCGGTGACCTCAGCGTGCAGCTAAACAAGATCAGCTGATGGATGCACTCTTTTCGGCTCCATTTCATGATCATCGTGACAGAAATACTTCTAATTTCATCATATCACAAATCATGTGATGGCACACCGTGGAGCAATCCTTTCGCTGCTGAAATCTAACTCAGTGTTGCAACACAAGTTGGGCCTAAAGTTAAGGCAGACCTACGTGCTTGAGGGCACACTATTTTTAGCAATGAGTATTACACAAAGCAGAATTTATGTTCAATATTCATGAAGCCAAAACAAAATAACAGATTTTTTTTTTTCTTTTGAAACCTCATTTACAAACCGTAATATGGCAATGTGAGGGGGATGTTTGTGTTAATAAATGTGTGAACACTGCAATGAGGAAAGGCGTGAGACTCGATGGCGAAAGGGATTTGCATAAAATTAATGCCTGGCAGTTCAGCTGACTACTGTATGCTCTGTAAAATAATACTGAATCTTCACGGAAAACTTAAAGTAAAGTGCTGGTCAGTTATTATGGTTGTGTATGACTGCCTTTATGGTATATAACCTTTATGATAAGTATATAAAACTTGCTGCCTTCTTTTAGAACGGCTTTTGGGTGAACCATGAGCCGAAAATACATTTTCAATACAGCAAACACTAAATAATAAGTCCAAGAGCATATAATGTATTTAAGACAGAAAGCCTGAAATATTGAAAATATGAAACATAAATAAATCACAATTTGCCTTTTTGTAGAAGTTTTACAGTATACTTTTTCTGAAAAAAAGAGGCTTTTGAATCAGGTTCACAAAGAAAGGCAGAACTGACGTTCCATCTGTGCCAATCCTTGAGCTATGTGACTCTGTATCACTGTAGACATATACTGGATTGCTACCTTTAAAAAAATAAATAATTTTTTACAAGTTGTTGCTTATCGTCAACAGAAAGAGTAAGGAGTGAGCCCTTTTGGTACAAAAATTATATTTTATGCAGGAAAACTGAGACATCTTTGTGGAACAGAGGTAAGGAAGATGGATTCCCACGAAAAAACGTGTCTGTTCAGATCAATTTTTGCCCCGAGATTGTGAAACAGTGGTAAGTGTTTCAAAGTGTAACAGATGGAGATATATCTTAGCTCATGCTTTGACTAATACAAATATCCCAGAAAAAAAAAAAAAAAAAAAGTCAGATCAAAGTGGGGAATAATGGTACGTGAGAATTATGTTTGACAGGAAAGAAAATGCCTTCTAATGTAGAAGTTTTTACCTTTGATGACTTCTTTGCCTAAACAAAATGTCTGCTTGTGTTCACAGCTTGCATAAAACCAATATCTTTTCTCTCAAAACAATTGCTAAGAAGGTTTAGCCACATTAATTATTTGCAGTTTTTCTCAATGTGTTTGACCCAAAAGAACCAGCTGAAGTCTGGTTGAAAATTAGTGTGTTGACTTTGCTTCTATTCAAAACTACTGTGTAGTGCAGGAGTCTTCAAACCCAGTCGTCAAGATTTAATGGCCTGAAGGATTTAGATGCATCCCTGCTCCAACACAGTTGAAACAAAAGAATGACATGATACTAGACCTTTAAGAGGTAATTCAATCATTTGATGCAGTTGTGGTGGAGCAGGGATGCATCTAAAACCTACAGCAGATTCATCATACTTGAGGTGATATATTCCAAGCCGTTGTTTCTTGTAATTTTGATTTTGATTATGGCTTACAGATAATGAAAACCCACAATTCAGTGTCTCAGAAAATTAGAATACTGTGGAAAAGGTCATTGATGGAAACTTGTGGTGTCACATCCTAATCAGCTAATTAACGCCAAACACCTGCAAAGGTTTCCTGACCCTTTAAACAGTCTCTCTCTCTGGGTCAGTAGGATACAGAATCGCGGGGAAGACTGCTGACTTGACAGACGTCCAGAAGACAACCATTGACATCCTTCACAAGCGGCGAGCCACAAAAGGTCATTGCTAAGAAATTGGTTGTTCACAGCGCTCTGTATCCAAGGATATAAACAGAAAAAGTGAGTGGATAAAAGAAGTGTGGTAGGAAAAAATGTGCCAGCAACAGGCAGAACAACAGATTTGAGAGAATTGTTCCCTCAAAATCCATTCAAGAATTTGGTAGAGCTTCACCAGGAGTGAGCGAAGGCTGGAGTCTGTGGATCAAGAGCCATCGCACACAGAGGAATACTAGATATCCATCCATTTTCTTTACACCCTTGTCCCTTAGTGGGGTCGGGAGGGTTGCTGGTGCCCATCTCCAGCTAATGTTTCGGGCGAGAGGCGGGGTTCACAATGGACAGGTCGCCAGTCTGTCGCAGGGCAACACAGAGACAAACAGGACAAACAACCATGCGCACACACACACTCACACCTAGGGACAATTTGGAGAGGCCAATTAACCTGACAGTCATGTTTTTGGACTGTGGAAGGAAACCGGAGTACCCGGAGAGAACCCACGCATGCACAGATAGAACATGCAAACTCCATGCAGAAAGACCAGGGCCGGGAATAGAACCCAGAACCTTCTTGCTGCAAGGCAACAGCTCTACCGCCACTATGCAGCCCAGAAGAATACTAGACATGTACTGCAAATGTCACATTCCTCAGGTGTCTGGTTTACTGAAATTCATAGCCATTGCGTTCATCTACCAGAACTTTCTAGAACACTTCATGTTTCCCTTTGTTAACAAGCTGCATTCAGATGCTGATTTTATTTCTCTGCAGATGCAATTGTTTTATACACATCTTCCTGAATCTGTACTAATCGATTATCATCAGTTATGTGAGACAAAAAAAAAAAAAAAAAAAAAAAAAAATGAACACACCGTATAGCTAGTGAATAGGCCCACAGGATGTAATTGCTTTTAAAGATCATCTTTAGACTCATAGTAAAATTTCAGAAAGTTTATTTTGTATTATTATTTCTGGTAAAACCTCCAAAAGTTAAAAAAGGAATTAAATATTTCATGAGGAGGGACATACCTCCAGATTTCACCCTAACATAGCTGCAGGGCCCAAAGATACAAGGTGTCAGATACTCAGAGATAAGCTCAATGCAAAGTAACATATAACACTAAAAACACTTAATATGACTCATAAGGTAAAAGCATCAAGATCAGACAGTGACTGTCACTGGATGAGACAGATGCAGGGTTTGGTGGAGGTTCATTGGTGGCTCGTGTGAGGTTGAAGAAGGAAATTAGTACAGACAGCTGTTCTTAAGGATGACCCAGTTAGAATAGCTGGGTGATTTCAGCGAAAAAAAAAAAAAAAAAGGGACATAAAATCATCTCAAATACCTGCTGCTGCAGATAAAGAAGAGTGTAGCTTTCAATAACCTCTGGGCAGTTTCTTTTTATGTTATGCAGCTCTGCTTATGTTCCCTTTTTCAAATGTTTTTTTTTTTTTTAGGTTCAATAAGATTTAAATTGACTCAGAGCATTGTGCTTGTTCTTTCTGAAAGTTAATCCTGGAAAATGTAGTTTGCATTAGATGGCTGTTGCACAGGCAATGCATGATGTAAATGTTGACTTATTGGTACTGTTTAACAAAGCAAATTAAATTTCCTCATAAGTGTAACCTATTTAGTTTTTGCAGAAGATATTTCATAAAGTTGGAGCAAACAGAGAGAGCAATATTGGACTATTTGTTTCTACACCATTTCTCTGCATCATGCACAGCCAGGCTCTCTCTTATGCTTTCTTCTAACCTTATAGAGTATCATCTCAATGCTCCTCCTCCATCTGTTGCTATACACAACCGCTGATGAGATTTATTCTACACAACAAGCACTTGACAAGTTTATCCCAATAAAAATACTTTAAATTGTATTAATAAGCACTCAAATGAAATAAAGGATTTTGTTGTCGAAAGGAGCAAGGACAGATCTCACCAGTGCACCCTTTCTGTTGAATATGGTCTCTTCAAGGGAATGTGAGGAAGAGTTAAAAAAAAA